ATTGACAAATTGTGAAAAGTATAACCAATGTCACTGAACAAGAGAGTCAGAAATTGTTAAAAAGGGAACCTAATTTGCTGTGTAAACTTTCACCAAAAACACAGTATTTTATACATATATTCAGGAATTAGCAAAGAACCTTCCAACCAGTTACATGTGATTCCCCCTTATAGTATCTTACATTCAACTAGCTGAGAAAATCGGAGGCCTAACTGCCATAGAACGCTTTCAGAGAGAGCTGTGTCTGTCTAATTGCAGGCATACATACACACGCTCTGTCTCTGCACCTGTGTATACACACACACACACACACACAAACACAGTCTCTCCACCTATGTATACACACACACACAGTGTCTCCACCTATGTATATACACACACACAGTGTCCCCACCTATGTATATACACACAAACACAGTCTCTCCACCTGTGTATATACACACACACACAGTGTCTCCACCTGTGTATATACACACACACACACATAAACACACAGTCTCTCCACCTATGTATATACACACACACACACGGTGTCTCCACCTATGTATACACACACACACGGTGTCCCCACCTGTGTATATATATATATACACACACACACAGTCTCTCCACCTGTGTATACACACACACATAAACACACAGTCTCTCCACCTGTGTATACACACACATGCACACACGGTGTCTCCACCTGTGTATATACACACACACGGTGTCTCCACCTGTGCATACACACACACTCTCTCTCTCTCTCCACCTGTGTCACTGTCTGTTTCAGATGCTTCTGTAGGTCCGAGGCCCTGTGGTACCTGGACTGGAGGAGGCGGCTGCAGGACGAAGTCTGGCAGAACTTCTCCACCGAGGCCTGAGCTAATCCCTTCCTTTCTGAGAGAGCGTGGTGATCAGCAAACTCACTTTCCCATCACCAGCTAGACGGTAATCTGACGGAGCCCCAGTTGGCGGAGGATGGGAAAACAAAACATGGGTTCGTGGCCATGAGCTGTTAGGTACGTAAAGCAGCAGCAGACTAGAATGCGGAATTCTTAAGGCACAGCACAAAGACGTGTAACATACATGTTTCCTGTCACACTTAGGCTTCTGCTTTGGCACAAGGCACACCCAGTGATATACGTATTGCAAAGTGGAAAGAAGTGAGATTTGAAATAGAAATGAAACGTTCTCTTCCTTCTCCTCTAGAAGAGGAGACACAAAAGGCAAAGGCCACGGCTACCGGTGATGGGCTACAGAGGCAGGGTCTGCCCGGTGTGTGCGTGAGCTTCACGTGGGGTAACTCCAGCTTCCCTTCCTCGTTTCAATTGAGGAGGAGGCGCTGTATGCTAAGGGCGCTATCGGGACACTGCCGGCCAAGAAGCACATTTGATCTCCTCCAGCCGCTTAGCCAACGCTGATTTTCTGCCCCAGGGGAAGAGATCTGACATTTAAATTCATTTTACACAGCTGCTTAATGTGGCTTGGCAAGGCATAGCCAAACCAGCTTTGTGGGCCTACATAGGGCTCCTGAGTTGGAAGAGGAGAGATCCCGTGGATTAGCAGCTGGTGATAAATGCTCTCCCCCCCCCACTGTTATCTTCCCACTCCACTCGAATTGTCCTTGAAGGCACCGTAAGAAAACAAACAAGCAGAGAAGACAACTGCCCGGGAACAGGTGCGTGGACTTCATCCCGCGTTTGCCTGCTCCCTTTCCGGATCATGCTCACAGAACTTGTGTTGGTCGCTCCACGCTTAGGATCATGTTTATAGAATTTACAACCCTCGACTTCAAACTTAGTGTTGGCTCTTGCTACCTAAATGAAAATGTAAACCCAACCTCACTGCTGTTGGGCCGATGCCAACTCACAGTGACCCTAGAGGACAGAGTACAGCTGCCCCATGGGATCTCCAAGGCTGTCGTCTGTACAGAAGCAGATTGCCACATCTTTCTCCCACAGAGCAGCTGGGGGGCTCAAACCACCACAGCTGAGTGCTTAACCATAGAACCACCAGGGCTCCTTAAATAAATACATAATGGATATCAAACTATTAAAAAGCTCTGTGTCCAGCACTGTAACATGTAGTGAAGGCACAGTTATGCAAGCTAAGTCTAAACACAGCTGGTTATGATGAGTTCTCTACACACCGCTGATGCTTCCCTATTTGATTTTAGCCACAGTTGTGGTTATGTGTCTCCTGAAACAACTATTGAACACAATTCATTCTGTGTAGGGCGATCTGAACGCTACCTCATGCAAAACACCATCAAGAATAATGTTTCTGCTTAGTAAACCATTCAACAGCAATACACCTTGAGAACACTTACCAGCCTCAAAATGCTAAGCGATCTTGGTAGTCTAGTTTGGGAATAGGAAAGGAGAGAGATGCTTGCTGTTGCTCTATGTAACTCCTGTGTCGAAATGGGCAGTAATAGGGCAACACCATACTGAGGAAGAAAATCCTGTGGGGAGCTGTGAGGTCATATTTTCCTGGTGCCTTCAACATCCTTAAAACTCCCTGGGAGAAGGAAACACTAGGCATCTTTGGTGCACACATGTGCTCAGGGATGAGGTAATGAGACCCCCTCGTAAGTCCTACCAATAAGCTGCGTCATCCCTAGTGAGTGAGTCTCGTCAAACGAGACGGGGGCACTGTGAGCTCACGGGGAACGTCGGCACTTCATGGCTGAGGCAGGGACAGCCACACAACCATGACGGTGTTGCACACACAAGTTCCACACAGATGACTCTGACGCCCAGGGGATGATGCCACGGGTGGCCTCATCATGTTACAGAGATCCAAGCTGTATTTCCCTCTCAGGCATGAGGGGGAGAAGCCATGCCAAAGCCATGCAAAGACAGGGCCTGGGGGGACGACATGCAGGTTTCCACCAAACCATCACAGAACAGTTAATAAGGATGAGAAATGAGACAAACAGAACAAAACAAAACAAAAAACCCGAAACAAACACAGATGAACAAAAAGACGTCCCTCCTCCCCCCCGCCATGGGTTTCTTTCTGGGTCTTTGACTCTTCTGGTGTGGGAGTACCCCCAGCAGCCAGGGGGCGCTCATGAACAGTTTCAAAGGGATGCCAAGGCCCCGCGGCAAGTCCAGTGTGGTGCTACCTACCCGTACTGGTCAGGCTGGTGCGGCAGGGAAGCCTGAGAGTTGCCATAGTTGGGGTGCTGGGAAGAAAACATGGGGCGTCCGCCAGCCCCAGACTGGCTGGGATAAGCAGGCGACCTAATGTATGGTGGCCTAAAGTAGAACAGAGAACAGCTTCTTTGGATTGGTTCTGCAGTACACGTCCGAACCCCCCGTCCGTCTCCATGTGTCCACCCGGAGGTGTGGAGGGTGGCAGGGGGTGGTGGGTGGGCGTCCTACTCTGCACCAAGCAGCTGCCTCAAATGGAACCTGGTAAGATTCCTTAGAAAGGAAAAGGGTGGGGGCCAGGGCACAGGCGGGACAGGAGGAAGATGGTCAGACCACATCCCAGTTTCCAGTGCAGCTGTGACTGGGGTAAAAGCCAAAACTAAAACATATGGTCCTTATTCGCACTCCTGGAGAGGTCGTGGAGGCGAGGCCCTGTGAAGGCCTACTGGCTAGAAATAGAAAACGAAGACACACCAAATGTGTTTACATGTTAATTTAAATAAACGGATTCGGAAAGGGACAGGGCAGCAGGGTGGTAGCTTTCAACCCAGCAGAGCTACGGCTTAACTCCGTGGTCACCTTCCCAGATCACTGTCCAAGGAAGGCTTCCTTGCCAGATGCAGTCAAATACTTTCTATTCAACAGACAGAAACATGACTTGTGCTTCATGGGCTGCAGCAATGGATAACTCATCTAAACCTCAGTGAGAACTTCAACTGGACCAGCCAAGCCAGTCTTCACAGACAGGTACAGCAAACGTTCCCTAAAGCCCAAGTGTGGTTTCCAGGTGTACTACAGGGGTCCCTCAACCTTTAAGTAATCGTAAAGTGGACAAGAGAGAGAGGTCTTTAATTCCTCAAGGGGGATTCATGATCACTTGCAGCAAACAGGGAGACTGGAAGGGGGCTCCTTATATTCCTGAAATAGCAGTATCAGAGGAAAAGTGACAAAGAGGACACATTTTACACACACACACACACACACACACACACACACACAAGCTCTTATCCCCTTTGCTGAAAGGCAGGAACTTCTACCTTTTCTTCTGAAGAAACAGCTAAAATACTTAACCTTCTGTGTGCTTGTTTTAAAATATACTTACATGTGTTTTAAAAAAGCAATTTCTACCTCTGCCTCACAAAGTTTGACTTATCGATGCTATTTCTATAGAAGTGGAGTATTTCCTTCTGGAATTGAATGTCAGGAATAAAGACAGGAAGTAACTGAGGCAAAAGCCTGTGTTAATAACTTAAAACTTTTCTAAAATATTATCTTTGCTGTATTTGCCACATTTTGGTTAGGACGGATAAAGAGGTAAACCCGGAAAAAAGAAGTACAACCTACGTCTATAAATCGCACACATACACACAAGGACACACACACAACACATGTTATGTACACACAGAACGTTTCTATTTTATAAGGATTTTTATGGTAAACAAAAAAAAAAAGGGGGGGGGAGGTTTCAAGTTTTCAGAATTTCAGTAGTTTTTAGTCTTTAGAATTTCCTGCTTGAAAGTCACTGTTTTAAACAGAACCCCCAAGGCTCTTCCCTGCACAGTGGGAGCTGGTCTCCTGGGTGCTGGTTGAGATGATTCTTCACAGACACTTCAAGTAACCGCCCACAGTGGATCTGCCCTCAGCTCCACTTCCTTCCACCACTTGTCCCACAACACGGTCTGTCACTCACTTCCCTGCCCTTTACAGCATGGAACAGACTTAGCACAGAAAGGAACTGTCGAGCGGCACTGCTCTGCTCTCCCCTGCCACCCAGGGGCGTGGCGGCTCTGGGCTCGGTTGCGTGCTCCCACGTGGGTACCCTGAGTGCCCGCCCTGGCGTCAGCCCTGGAGCCGTACCTGCTTTGTGCTGAGTTTGCAGCAGCCTGCATCACTGCCGCGGCTGCCTCCTGTGCCTTACGGTTCACAGTGGGCATGGGCGGCCCCATTCCTGGCCCTCCCTGCTGAGGCATGCCGGGAGAGCTGGGGGTCATGCTGCTCAGGTTTCCAGGGAACGGTCTGCTCTGCATCCCGGCCGATGGCATCCGTCCCAGGGGCATAGCACCACATGGCTGGCTGGGCCCTTGTCCATGCATCTGGCTGTTGGCACTGATGCCCAGGCCGGGCCCTGGGCCGCTGTAGCTCGCACTGGGCACCCCGCTATACGTGGGGGGTCTGGAGTAGTTACCTAAACGAAAAGCAAACAGATTAATGCCTTTTATTTCATGTGAAAACACTCACTGGAATGACTTTCTGTGCAACAATGTGACTGACGCAGAGTGTCAGTCACTATGCTGTGAGCCTTACTCCGCTGGTACCAGTGTGGCTGGCAGCCTTACAATATGCTGTCTGCACACATCCCAAAGGGCCTTCAGATGTCAAATCCAAAGACAAGACCCACACAGGACTGTTGCCACATTCAGGGGAGAGTCAAGCTGACCATGAGACAAATCTGCAGCAGGTAAGGGATTCCACTACCACGTGTAGCTCCAATACATTCATAACCAAAATCCCACTCCCAGTGCAGGCTAGCATGCTGAGATGGCATGGTGACATCACCACTGCACCTGGCAGTTAGGATGAAGGGTTCCCCAAGACAACATGTAAGGTAAAATGCCCACGTGGTTTCCTTCATGGAAACCCGGCATAAGCCCAACACAGCCAGTTTCTCTTCAGTGGGATAACCTTTTTTTTTTTTTTGGGTGCGTGAGAACCAAAGTGGCTGGTTTGTGGTCGGTGCCACGTCTTGTGAGAGTTTCATGCACGAGCATGACACTTCGCCCAGTGAGAGGGATGCACTGTGGGAAGCAGGCAGGCCTGAGGCAGAAGGGGGACCTGTCAGCCCCTCGCTCCTCTGTGCCCACCAGGGCCCAGGCTCCCAGAGAAGCATGATGGCTGTAATGTCTGACTGTCATCCATAGTCTTGTGCTCTTCCTTCTTCCACATCTTTCCTTTGGAAAGATACACAAATTGAATTCAAGTAAACTAAAGGGCATTTCACTGTAACAAGAATAGTAGTGCTGATAACAATTACTAAATAGGATCACACACCAGACACTGGGTTAAATGCTTTATGGAACTGGTTTCATTCATTTCTCCTGATAGCCACATGGCTACAGACACCGCCCTCACTCCACTGACAGGTGAGAACAATCAACAACTAGGAAGGTAGGATTCTGGCTCAAGCAAACTGACCCTGGAACTCACGTAACTAACTGATACCATGTGCTGCCTCCCAACAAAGGCCCGTCGGGTGAAACACACGCAAAAAGATGGGTGTTTGTAGGCCATGGAGCAGTGCTTCTCAATCACAGTCCTTACTACTTTCCGGAAGAATCCTGCCACCCACCCATCTAATACAGCTGTACCTGACATACCTTACTGTATGTTAGGGACTGTGCTGGGCACGGGAGATAGAGAGTTAAATGCAACCAAACTGCCGTGCGCGAGAAGCTCGTGAGCTAAGCGTGTGCGTGTATGACATGAAGCAGGGAAGGAGCTGGGGTACAGACCAGAAAAAACGCATAAGCCTAAAACCAAAGCGAGAGAAAGGTTAAGTCTGACTGCGTGGAGTGTGAGAAGCTTGCAAGTAGTAGGGGAGTTTAAGGAAGATTCCTTGGAATAAGTTATTATTGAGCCGGAACCTCAGGAGGCCATGTGGACCAGGCTCTGGGAACTGGGAGACCAGAAGCTGAAGCAAGCTTCCTAACTGTATGACCTTACATGAGTGGTTTTAATCTTTCTTGGTGTAATTTACTTATCTGCAATACAAATGCTGGGGAGTGCATTCATGGCAACCCTCTAGATATCATTAGGGGCCTCTGAGTCAGTTCCCACTCACAGCAACAGAACAAAGCACTGTCCAGTCCTAAGCCATCCTTACAACTGTTGCCATGTTCGAGCCCATCATAGGTACTGTGTCAACCTGTATCACTGAGAGGCTTCCTCTTTTTGCTGACCCTCTGACTCCACCAAGCACGGGGTCTCTTTCCAGGGACTGTTCTCTCCGGATAGCATGTCCAAAGTACAGGAGACAAAGTCTTGCCATCCTCGCTTCAAGGAGCATTCTGGCTGTACTTCTTCCAAGATAGCTTTATTCACTCTTCCGGCCATCCATGGTATATTCAGTATTCCTCACCAACACCCTAATTCAGATGCATCAGTTTTCCTTCAATCTTCCTTGTTCCTTGTCCAGATTTTGCATGTCTATGAGGTGACTGAAAATACCACGGCTTGGGTCAGGTGCATCATAGTCCTCAAGGTGACATCTAACACTTTGAAGACATCTTTCACAGCAGATTTACCCAACTGCAATATGGTGTTCAGTTTCTTCACTGCTGTTACCGTGGGTGTCAATTGTGGATCCAAATAAAAAGAAATCCTTGATAATTTCAATTTTTTCTCTGTTTCTCATGGCCCTGTTACAGATAACCCCAACACTCTCCACTTGAGGAGCTGCTGTTAGGATTAAATGGGGCAGTGTATGCAAAGCATTTCCAGCACGGTCATAAACATGGTGGGATGCTGAGTGAAGGCCGCTCAGGATCATGGGAGGGAGCTCCGGGCAAGGGCACAGATGGTGAAGGCAGTTGAGTCCAGATCCCAGCACTGCTGAGCTTCGTGTGGCTGTGAGGAGGGAACAGAGGGGTGACGCCAGGCCTGGCAGGGCCTGGAAGCAGGCTCACAGAGTTGGGGTTTATTCTGAAGACAAGGAGAAGTTGCTAAGAGATTTCCAGCAGCAACTGGATTGGATTAAATAACAATAAAAGCAAACTCTTAAATAATATTTACCGTGTGCTCAGCTCAGTTCCGAGTTCTTTGTATTTACATCTCTTCCCTATGTCAACCCTTTGAGGGGCATATTATTATAACGGTCACTTTAGAGATAAGAAATGAGAAGCACAGGGAATGTGTCCCAAAGGGCAGACAGTAAGTGCAAGGCCCACATCTAGACCACAGGCGGTCTTTGAGGGTCCAGGCTATGTCCAAGCATGTAACGTCTCCACTCCCTGCCTCACCAGTGGGAGAGAAAGCATACTTATGTAGCAGTGTTACAATAACCCCAAGAACAGGTCTTAAGTCACACATGTGAGACTGTACACCTGCAAATTCCTCAGAACTCATGAGGCTTCTCAACACTGACTACTTACTCTGTATTAGGTACATTAATGCCCGTGAGGCACACATTATCAATTCCAGATGATGCAAAGGCCACCGTTCACACAGACTGTGGGTGGGCACACTTTTTCTGTCAAGGGCCAGAGAGCAGATATTTTAGGGCCAATGACTGAGTTCTCTGGTAGTGCAGTGCCTAAGGTACTTGACTGCTAACCAGAAGGCTGGAAGTTCAAACCCACCAGCCACTCCTTGGAAGGAAGGTTGGGCAATCTACTTCTGTAGTGATACTGCCTTGGATACCCAAGGAGGGGTGGCTATGACTTGAAATCAACTAGATGGCAATGAGTTTGGTTTTGGTTTTTTATTGAACGCTACTCTTCCAGCTCCAAAGCAGCCACAAGATAGTATGCTAACAAATGAGAGCAATAGTGCTCTAATAAAACTTTATTTACAAAAACAGGTGGCTGGCCAAAGTAGGTCAGCATTGCTGATCAATCTTGGTTCAGGCTAGTAAGTCATTGCAATAGCAAGAGAAGGTGGGTTTTCTTCATCCTGAATCCCACCTGGAAGGCTAAGGAAAGCTTAAGGGGACCAGCAGGGTGAGGCACTGGCCAATCTAAGGAAGTGGAAAATTGGAAGACAGAAGGAGTAGAAGAAAGGAACTGGAGAGGAGCTCTGGTGGCGTAGTGCCCAAGGTATCTGACAAACCCACCAGCCACTCCTTGGAAGGAAGGTTGGGCAATCTACTTCCTTACTGATGCTGCCTTGGAAACCCAAGAGGGTCACTATGAGTGAGTTTTTTTTTTTTTTTTTTTCCATAAATGACATGGGTAGCCCCGAGCCGCCTAGGCCAGTGGCTTGGGCTTCACAAGGCCAGGTGTTCAGAAACGATCTAACTGGTGCTGTGTCAAAGCACAGCCCGTGTGTCTCAAAGTTCTTTACCAAAAGTTCCAGAGTCACTTCTGAGCCTCCCCGCCAGTCGGCCCTGGTGGGAGGGGAGCCAAGGAGCAGGGCAGGCTGCTGTGTCCTCCCTCTTCTCCCACTTACTTAGAGCACAGCTGTCAGTCCTTATCTCCTTCTCCTGACCCCACGTCCCCGCACCGCCAGGCCACCTGACAGCACCAGAGGACAGGGTGCTCCTGCTCCACGCTTGTTTCATTAAAGATGAATGTACTCATTCATCGTCGGAATGCCCATGTGACCAAGTCACCTGGCCGCGCTACCACTGAGGCCACCTCCCGCCCCCAGCAGCACTTGCTATGCGACTTGTTTGGTAAGGAGTCTTTCCAGTGGACACATCCGTGCCCTTTGCTTTCGGAGGAAATGAAACAACACTTCATCTTGGTTTAGGAAACAAGTCTGCAGAGCTGAGGCTGCAGACCATGCCCGGAGTGCAGTTTGGGCAGCAGAGCCCTGTCCACTGAGCTCTGTGTTGAGCTGGACTAGTTGCTGGACTCTGCGTGCTTGTGCTCTGGGCCGAGCTGGAGTCAGAGGCCGTATTCTAATGAACACAGAGGACGGAGGTGATTGAGTAATTGCCCTGCGTCCCAGCTCAGTCCTTCTCATTCATGGTACGTCCCGATGAGGGAAGAGGGCGTTTCCAGCTTTGCTCAGTTCAGCAGCTGGTCCTGTGGCAGGAAGCAGCTGTAACTGGGTGGCGTATGGCTCAGAGACGCACAGCCATGCCCACCACACATGCCCACCACACATGCCCACAGGTGCTGGTCCTGAACCTTGGGCTCCCAACTGAGTGTCTTCAGTCACGTGGGCTACTCTATGCCACTCAGAAGCACATGTCGAGGGAACATGTCCTAATTATAGAGACCCCTACTCAGGAGAAGACACATGAAGTCCTCTTTTCTTCTTTAAAGACCTTCTTCATTAAACTCACTTGTCTGGATAAAATGGGTTCTAAAGGCTTAACATGGCCTAAGAGGCAGCTTTGGCAGCATGGGTTTGAACACTGGTTCTGACACTTGCTAGTGGCGTGACCTTTGGACAAGGTATTCAACCATTCTGAACATCAGTTTTGTCACCTGTAAAGGGATGACAGTAATAACGGGGACTGTG